TTTTGAGTATTTTGACTTGAGTTTTTTTAGAAAGTTTAATGTTTCAATGGCCAATTTTCATTCGAAACACCTGTAGATGCCACAATGAGAAAGGATAAATGTTCCAGCATTCAAAATATTTTCATTTTTTATTGTTTATAGAACTGTTGAAAAAAATCTCGGCTTTATAGAGCAAAACAGCTTAGACCGTTAATCAGAGAATACCTGTTGAGTATTCTTTCATTTAACTTTTTTATTCGCTTGCTTTAAAATTGATTCAGCTTGACTTTTGTAGAGAATTTGATGGTGCATCTTTTAGAAAAACAAATCGGCCTAAAGTTTGAAAAGAAAAACAATGATAAGCAAAGTATTAAAAAGGACCATTACTTGTAGGTCATCTATTAGTTTAGTAAAAATGAAAAAGAAAGTTTTCGTGCAGTCTTCTATGGTACGTACATATGATAATAGATGAATCCATCGTAGATTGACAAATAGAGTACACAGAGTAGATGGCTCCAAAATTTGAGTCTATATCTTGATGACAAATAATTGGAACCGGATTGTTTTTCTCTCTATCTATCTGCGCATATTACTTTCGTTCGTCAACTGATGCATTGTTGATCGAGGTGAAACTTTATGCTCATATATCTGTTCTTCATACAATGCTTATCTTATCATATGTGTTTAGTTTTTCTTGGCTTTGTGACATTTATTTTAAGCGAAGATGTCTTATAAATCAGTAGTATAAAATGACTTATACATTTCTTCATTGAGAAAATCTTGCAACTAGACAAACAAAAATATGAAAAAAACATACAAGTGGAAATAGCTAGTTCAAAAAAACCTGCCGTTCTATTGGATGACCTTTATAGATGATCCCACATTGTTTCTTTCAACAGAGAAGCATATTTGAATAGAATATTCAACAGAAGTATGTTGTGTCGATATTGAGTGTTTATGATAACTCACCGAGAGAATGCTCTGATATTTTATTCCATCATACATATATTCTTTTAAGAGTGTTTTTTATCGTTTTCAGTATTATATGATCTTGAATTAATTCAATGGTTTTGTGAAACACGATCTAAAAGGGGTGTTGAAGTATAGGGGCAAGATTTCGATTTCCTCCTCGCCACATAGAGTGGTCGACGCTAGTTAGAGAACATCATTTACCGTGGCAGACGTCATTGATATACGACCACAGATTGCCTATCAATAACGTCTCGTTATAATATATGGACTAATTCTTTAGTATATCTCTAAAGAATTAAAAGGAGAATAGAGAAATGTGTTATTTTAATTCCGCAAGAATTGCACTAATAACTTTACTTTCTTTGTAGGAATTAGGACACAAACACAATCGCACATCCTTACAAATGGGACGCTGTTATCAACCATCATCAATATCGATAAACAATATCCAGTAATTAGTTTTTTTTCTTCATTCTCTACAGTAGCTAGTTTCCTTTTATTATTTACTCAGTATTTTTTTTTGCGTAACTTGTCTGAAATTTTGTTTTAATTATTAATTCTAATAAAATATATATAAAACATACGTAAAATAATTAAAAAAACAAAAAAACAAAAACTACTAAAAAAAGTTTTTTTTTATTTTTAAAGTTTTTATAGTGAATATAAAACTTTTCATTTAAATAATCGTTTTTATATAAAGTCGTATTAAATACATTTAATACAATATATTAATATACGTTGGCCGTTCAAAAAGATCCCGGAATGGTTTTAGTTAAAAACAATAAGAAGCGCTGCTGTATTTGTATTATTGTCTTCGCATAGCTCATACAGTCCTCTATCTATAAGCATCATGAGCTCAGTGGAATTACGCATACATACGAAAATAGCAAAACACATTTTAGACCACTGTTTATACACTGATAGCGTAATCAAAAATTTTGAGCATCACTCAGTGATAAAATTTCTTGCTCTAGGAGGTCATGCCTCATTCAATGTTTATGAATATATAATGACAGTTAATGTTGATCGATTATCTATCACTCACTACAACTTCTGAATGAAATTGTTTTTGTGAAGACGGATCATCATACATTATTAATAATCCATATTTGAATAGCATAATTGTTATAAATGTGAATAGCATAACTGTTAAAACTTTTAGAAGCTCGATGGTCGAATCGCATCTGGATAAATCACGGACACTATCAGCTTTCCAAATTTACAGCGCATAGTATTTTATATGATCAATCATATATAACGAAGCGTAGTTCATGAAAATATCACATCCTCTAACAGTATATGAACGACGTATCCACCATACCTAGAACTATCATTAATAGTCAGCTATTCATTTTTATAACGACGAGCCCACTCATATATCGTAGTATGTCATTGAGCAATATCACTGTAAACCGTCACCATATATTCATAAATATTGGATGGCGACTAGTCTTTCACAGCAGAAAACTTTGCCTCAGTTTTTAATTTTCCATCAGTGTATAAACAGTGGTCTAAAATGTCTTTTCATATTTTCGTATACATGTATAATTCAACTGAGCTTATGATACCTATAGATAGAGGACTGTATGAACTATGCACAGACAATAATACAAATACAGCGGCGCTTCTTATTGTTTTTAAATAAAATCATTCCGGAAACTTTTTGAATGACCCACGTATAATTTTTTCGTTTTACTAGTAAAAAACAAACTCAAAGAATTTCTGCTCGATATACTTTTTTCTGAATATTGGTTTTTGCTTGTATGAGTGATATTATAAATAATTTTCATTGTGTTAGTCATGTTATGGTATTATAAGAACATTAAATAATTGATTCTTCTTCAATAATCTATGACACTATTTGGCAAATTCTGACAAATTCTTTTTATATTTAAGCTGTTTAATAAGATTTACTTAATAAAAAATTCTTTAATCTTTCTTTTTTATTGACTTGTTGCTTATTTATTGATGTTCGTTGCTATGAAATATACAACAAATAAATGTAAATTATGTCGAACATATCAACTGGTCGAAAAAAATTGACTGAAAGCCTAATTTGCAAGAGTGACATCGTTGGAAAGAGCGTTAAAAACTGAGTGTTACTCTTGTATATGAGCGCGGGGTATGATGTAGTTTCAAGCAAAAATTTTTCAAAATATTATTCCCTGCAAGAACGATTTTTTTGTTGCCTTTCTATATTTTTTGTTTCGTTCTCTCAGCTGCGATGATACACATGTTCACTTATGACAGAACGAAAAGAAAAAATATACACATGGATGGTTACAAGAGACAAAAACTTTTAGCGTTCTTAATGATAAATGAATTAAATAATAAATAATAAATAATATAAGTTTCTATAGACTATAAAAAATGTTATAAAGTTCAACAGCTTAGTCCATAGTTATAGTATGATTTGTTCTTTCAATCATTTCAGATTTTATTTTTCGTAAAATTTTGATTTTATTAATTTTTTTTTTATTATTTGAAAATTAAACAGCTTGATGATGTTCGATTGGAACAGGTAGAAACAATTTCGTTTTTTTGTGTCACATCAAATAGTTCAAATTTTTCATCGTAGTATGCTCTCATGAGAATAATACATCATTAGAAAGACTGATAAAGCTGAACAAGATATAAAGCTTTTTTCAAAATAATTATATTTTAAATACCGAGTAAACATTTTTAAGGATTGATTATACGAAAGGAACAACAAAAATCTTTTAATCATTTTAAACACCATAATTTTTTTAGGGTGTGGGTGTAGGTGAGAGATAGGAGTGGGATGTGGATGCAAGTCTTCTCTTGTTCCATACCCACACTCACACTCACACCGGCACGCACACCCTCATTGTTACAGTGTTGTCGCACTGATACAACTGCCATCTATTTTCAATTATATTATTTTATTTTTTATTTCGTTTTCATTTCTTTCTCGGTGATATATCTAGTCTTCTCTTGTGTTATCCATATATCTAGTCTTTGTTCTCTTTCTTTTTTTCTCTCTCTCTCTTTTCTTTTTCGCTTTTTCTCGCTCACTATATATGTACGTGTTTTCCATCATTTAAAATAGATAAAATAAAAGACGGTGTGCAAGTGTACGTAGACACACACACATATACATACTTTTTTTTCCGTAAAAGAAAGAGAACGAACTTAGCGTTGATCCAAAAGGACAACCGCTAACATTTGGCGACCCTGGACAAAAACGAATATTCACAACGACAACAATTTATTTTTAAATTTTATTTCAATTATAAAATTCATCAAAACAATAAAGAGCCTCTAATTTAAAAAAAAAGAGACTCGAGAATCAATTGTATAAGAGCCTTGCATATAGACTCGGTTGAATAAATTTTTTCATCAAATATTAATTCAACCATTAGGTAAAACAACGTCTCTTTAGTTTCATAAAGACTTAACTTAATAAAATAAGGAATACTTTTCAGTAAACCGTTCTCATATTTTCAAACATATAAAATTGGAATACATTTCTCAGGGAATTTTATTTCTTTTACAAATTCAAACACACATACACATATATACATATACAAAAAAAATATATATATATATATGTATATATATAGAAAAAGCAATGACCAATATAAACAGAAACATTAACATAGAATTTCGTCACTTTCTTTTATACAAATAAACTATAATTAGAAATTCTACAAAAAAAAAAAAAAGAAAAGAATTTCGTTCATTCTTCTTCAAGTACATACACCGATATATTCAGAAATTCTGCAAAAAAGAATTTCGTTCATTTGTCTTCGATTATATATACACCAGTACAATCAGAAATTCTAAAAAAAAAAAAAAGAATTAAATGCAAATATCAATAAAGAGATTCTAAATAAAGAATTTCGTAAATCTATACGCATATTGTTACGTTGATAATCGTAATTTAAATTTTATCAATCACGGCTACCGGTACAAGATTACAGATTAAGAAGAATAAACAGAAATTACTGCTATACGATCTTATCACATACTCATCATTACAAAAAAGATCGAAAATTAATTCAATATCTCAAACGAAAATCAATATAATGGCTGATCAAACATTATTAGCAAAAGCTCGCAAAACACGATTTGATGATCTACCGAATTTTTCTGGACATCCTTCTGAGGATGTCGAACGGTTTTTAAAAAGTATTAAGAACATAACCAAAGCAACTGATGAATCAACTAATCATGAAATTCTGGAAATAGTACGTGGCAAATTAACTCAATCAGCAGGAATATGGTTCGATAACAATGAAACTAATTTCAACAAATGGTCAGATTTCGAAACGGCATTTCGAAATCGATATTTTTCTTCAACATCAATACACAGGAAATTTGATACATTAAAGCAACGAAAACAATTACCAGATGAATCAATTACGTCTTACTGCGATGATATTATTAATTTATGCAAGGAAATTGATTCCAATATGTCGGAAAAAATTATCATTCAATATTTAATGAGTGGAATCAATCCTGATTTTAGGAAAGAATTATCAAGACGTGAATCATCTATTAATACATTAAATGAATTTTTAAAATACGCAAAAATTGAACAAGATTTATATGATACATTTCGTAATTTATCGATTGATTCACGACAATTTGATTTCAATTTCAGTCGTCCACCAATTCCATCATTAACTGCCACAGTCAATCCACAAAAACAATATCATTATAAAATAAAATACAACAATCCCACTTCACGTTCAACACAATTTCAGAGCTCCGTTTTCCGACGGAACTCGGATCCAACATTGGGAAATCGAACATCAACAATGCCTAATACAAAACAAATTTGGACTTATTCATCACAATTAGTATTAAAGCAGAAACCAATCAACACTCAACCAACATCACAACATCAATTCAACAATTGTAAAGTTTGTGGTCGAAAAAATCATCGGACAATTGATTGTTATTATAAGCGTACAACCGGATGTTTTAATTGTGGTGAAAATCACAATGTTCGCGATTGTACACTACCTCCAAATTTTCAATAACTGGGTTACATGATGGCGGTGTTCCCAGTAAATTTATAAAGCCATCAACAATAACATCATTTCCTGTTTACATCAAGATTCGTGTTAACAATCAACCAACGGAAGCAATTGTTGATACAGGATCCGCCATCTCAATTATTCATTCAAATTTTCTCAAAACAATTCATCACCGTAATTTTTTATACCAAACTCATTCATGTCAAACTGCAAATTCAACACCTCTTAATATTATTGGTCAAATACAACTAGAAATACAAATTAAATCTATCAAAACTTATGTTACTGCTCATGTTGCTACAAATTTAATTACATCAATTCTTTTAGGCAATGATTGGATAAATTCGAATCATGTTCACCTTTATGGTGACCAGAAAAAATTAACTATTCCTGATCAATATGGCCAATTAATTTCAATTCCATACGTGGAACCCACATCTATTAATTATCCGGCATTATTAGTCCAACAACTTACTCTTCCACCATATTCACAACAATTAGTTGATATTACATGTCAAGTTACTAATGCTAATAATCTTATATTTGAACCATACGAACGTCATATATCAAAATTTATTTTTATACCACATACACTACTAAATACTAATGGAAATCACGCCAAAGTGTTACTTATAAATGCACAAAATCGACAACAAACATTATCAAAAAATACACGAATCGGAACCGTCTCCCGTGATGCAACATATACAATATATGCAACTACACAAATTCCAACAAAAAATAATTCTATTTTAAACGAACGTCATCAAACATCAACTCGACATTACAATAAATTAAAATCCAGAGCTGTCTTACGTAAAAGGGACAACTCGAATCAAGAAAAATTAAACATTATTTGTCATCATTGCAACGAACATTTTTTATCTGGAAATGATTTACAAAAACATCTACGAGCAGAATGTTATTCCGAACAGATTCGAAAACAAATATTCGAATCGACT